ACAGTTTTACTTCCTTTAAGTACCAACGAACCAGCGTATAGGTCATTCTGCCGTGGACCACAAGTGCTTGAGAAGATCTAAATGAAAACTTATTCAGAGGATCATATCGATTCGGGTGATTATATTTGGGTTTTCAAACCTTGAAAGTGGTACAACCTTAGTTGCCAAGATTTATTAAGTGAATCCACAAGTAATTGTAACTTCACACCAGTCATGAACAATTGGTGAAAAGTTAATACAATTCTATAAATTGAGATATTGATGAACTTTTGGAATATTGAGCATTGGCGACTTACAATTAATAGCGTAGAAGTACGTCCTAAATTTAAAAACACTTTGAAATTCAGTTAACCAAAATATAATAATATTTAAGACAGACATAAAAGTCGTTGCTGCAGGCAATCCTTTCACCATTTTTTCATCCTGCCACCCTTCTTAAGAGTTTTTGATCACTTTCATCTACCAAACTCATTAAACTTGGTAAACATGGAAACAGGGTGTTTGTCTCGTCTACAGTGCTGAAGTTTTGGATATATTAACTGGTGTGGTCGACCGCAAAGTAGAGAGTTGCATTTAGTCTGCATCTCTAACCATAGACTTAGGTTAAGCTATACAGATATACGAGTTATTAAATATCATCGATTAACTTTTTTTATAAAGCGACATAAATTTGGCAGAAAATGTGTTTTCTAGAACATGTAAGCGATTGCGATTACTGAATTTTCATCATTAAAAAATACAAGATTGTGCGAAAAAAATTAATTAATGAATGTGATAATAGAAATACGTATACAAAAAAAAATAAAGAAAATGAAAAAAAAACGGATACCGAATAGAGTCAGGACCAAGAATGAGAGAAGTAGATTGGATTTCAACATTTACAGTTTCCCCACGCACCGCTCCTATTTGCATATGTACATGTAGGTGGTTTTACCGGATAACGTTGTGGCGTGTACATTTCATACTTACACGCCCGAATAAAATCAAAGTCACGCCGCATTGTTAAAATAAGGGAAACTTGATAGGGTTGGTATGTTTATTTCTTTCAGGTTCTGATGACACGTACCAAATAGCCAAAAGTAGATTCATCTGCATCTAGAAACACGACAACAGCAAATGCCACAGTTCCGAAGCTTAAAGTACATATTAAGAAGTAGGCGCACATGCATAATTCAAATTGATTAATCAAATTAAAGTACTGAAATATCTAGTTTGTTACAAAAAGTAGGCTTAATTTTCTAAGGAAAGTAACAAACCATGCATAACATCTGGTGTAAATTAAATAACAGTGTACTTAGTGCTAGTGAGCCATCCTCCTACATGCATTACTATAAGGCATGCCTTTAAATGCTGAACCGATAATTTTAGCTTTTAAAAGGAAGCGGGCTGACCGCATAACGCAATCAAGCATCCGAATATATGGCCTGGTCACTATTAGGGTTCTGCACCAGAGATCTTGATATGGTGCGACTATTTAAATGGAGACTACAATTAAGTCAGGCTCCGGAATAACGGATGTACCAAACGCCCAACCGTGGCTTTTAATACATGTAGTTTGCCGCATCGATTGCCTCCAACGTTTCCAGTCACGCTTTGATATTGCGTTACTGAAACTGCATGGCCCTGTAACGATGCATCCAAGTACACTAAGTGCCAATTTTGTCCTTGTGTTACATGTAAAAAAGTCACCACCTCCGGCTAATATGCTAAAACGCCCATTTATTGCTACTTGGTGATTATAGTTGAGTGATCTGTCCATTTGGAATACCCCTAATTTAATGTCGAACGAAATCAAGGAGACCAAACTACCGCAAGTACCTCACAGCGGCGGGTTGTCCAAATTCTAGTCTAAGTGCATGTTGAATGCAAAGGGCCATTTATTGAAGAGTGCAATATATTCTGTACACTTGAACCGGTCCGGTTAGATATCCAGTTCACACTGTGTCATTTAAATGTCGTGGAGGAAACTATCCTGCATAATCCTGAACTGGAACTCAGCTACTAATACGGCTTCCATCACTTTGCATTGACGTAAGCAAGAAACGTGATATATACATGTATGCACCTCCGAGGTACTTTGGCTATATTATATATATGCAATATTTCAAAGCATAAAAGTGGTAGCACTAAAAGGGAATTGACGTATTTTAAACATCGGGAATAGCTGGTTTAATGTAAAAGCTATACAAATGCATTAATGTATATAACCTTGGTTTTCTTGTTTTCTCGACTTTTAAAGTCAATTAAGGCCTTACACTTTTAAGAGGCTTTTTATTTCACCACACGAAATTCGGCCCATTTGTCTCTGAGCAGCATTGACATCGATTTCGCTTTAAAAGATGAACAAGCCCGCTGCGGGCGATTTAAAGCAACAAAGTCACTGGATGACGTATTCGCTTTCGAAAGTATGGAGTTAATTATCTTATAAATCAGGCGCGCTGCCATCATTTTAGTTAAAACACATTTACAACGTATGTTCGCATTTAAGGTGATTTAAACCCCATTTCCAAAGACACCATAGACGGTCTACATGTACGTACATGGATCGATCCAACTCTGTTGGGGTGGGGGGTGGGGATGGGGGGGGGGGCTGTCTTCTTGTTTCCAACGTTCTCGTATAATCACCAGCTTTTCTGTATTCTACTCATCGCCTGGAAGAGGCGCGTCATTCATTTAAGCTGTTGCACTCAGCGAGAGTCCCCGCACAGTAGGATCGATCTTTGTGGACCGATGGTGTCCTATGAAATGGGGTTAAGACTTAAGACAAAGCGAGTCGTGTCGCAATTGCGTAGTTATTCAAAACGGACTCTGGCCATACGCTGTTCTTTTCTGCAAATATAATTTGTTTGTACAGCATTGAAGTATGATAAAAAAACAATCTTTCCCGGTGCAATTTCTACTTTTTATCACAATTACACAAGGGACATGATAAACGTGTTTTACCGTATTTGTTTGTTATAATTTGCGCTTTTAAAATCTAAAAGAGATAAGCGTAATGTGTTACCTCACTGACTATGAACTGCTTCACGTACGTAACAATATCGATCACTTAAAAGTGGCTTTCTCATGCCCTTATATGGTAGTGCCGCGGGTTGAATAAACGCTGATGTAGATGTATCTTTCCATCTGATCTGACTGAAGCAGCAAAAAGCATTAGAAGAGTCTACGAACCCAACCTGGTAATTCCTTTATTATAGCCGAGGCCATACTCGAGCAAATTCCCTTTACCAGTCGGAACCCCATGTTGTTGAGACTGGACTAATGGGCTTATCTGACATTGAAATTTTTGGATAGTTGTGGTTTATTTATCTATTCAATTATTTATGTATTAATTATGATTTATTATCTATTCATTTATTTATTTTGAAATAAGTATATATGTACATTGAAACCGACCTCACAATATATTCTGCAACCACATTACAACCTAGGCTACAATAACAAGTTTGAAATATGTGAATTGTGAAGTCCAGTGCGACCAAATCGCAAACCAATTTATTGACACATGTACAATTGCTTGTATTCAACACCCACCATATACCTCATTATGGGTGTCATATGACCCCAGCTGGAAGCGTGGGTAAACTATTTTAAAGCACGTGGAATCTGCACTTTGATGCAACAATATCACACAGCCCTATTAAGAGATCAATGGCAAGCTTTACCGTAACCGAAATGTACCTCTTGCGACCTAATTCTTATTAATGGTATGAATGCCGACCAAACCCGTAACTGATCGATGTTATAGGGAGAATAACGGTATGGACAAGTGCCATGAAAACTATTACATGAAAGCTATCATATTGTGTCTTAAATCGGGTCCTTTTCGGTTGTATTCTCAGTCGTCGAAATAGCGTCAACATTTGTCCAAATAACATAGTCACATTTCAGTTCCACTATTGTAAGCAATTAAGGCGATAGTTTCACGAAGGCTAAATTTATTTATTTTGCTAACGACCTCTATTAACAGGTACATTCATTTAGCCTTGCTTTCAAAGATAAAATTACTGGTGAGATAGACAAACGATGCTGTAACGCAATCCCTAACGAACAATTTCTTTGCAAAACCAGGATTCCCTCGACAGTCGGCTGTGGGTGATGCCGACAAGTACATTTCCGGTTTAAGTTATTTCAGTTGTGAACACCGCCCTGATGAAATAAAATTACATTAATTGTACGGTCCACAAGGTTGCCCAAATAATCATCTAAATATATCTCTGAAAGTGTTTCAATTATAGATACCAAGTAATATATGGTGAGAGGGAATGAGAAGCACCATATAAATATTCAACTTTAATAGCTTAGATACACTAGTGTCACACACGTTTACTTCTAAACGTTTTCTCCCAACAGATCAGAAATAAGCAGTTATGAGCACGTAATTGTTTTACTGGGGTTTATTTCTTTATTTATGCCACAAAATATTTTATTTATTCATAAATGCGCCAGTTACTCATTTATTTATTTATTTATTTATTTATTTATTTATTTATTTATTTATGTTCCCTTGGTACTTGCCAATGTTCGAGGTAACCTGCCACCAAGGGAAGGAAAGGATTACCCTATCAATACTGCATGGTTATCATTTTCAATTTTTGACATTGTCTCGCCCTTGTTTGTCAGTGGACTTATTCCCATTTAAACTGTCGGTCTTCATACATTGATCCAACTCTGCGGGGACTTTTGCTGAATGCCATCGGTTCTACAGATTAACACGCCTCCTCTTCTTTCCAAAGTAGTCGTGTATTAATCACCAGCGTTTCTGTATTCTACTCAACGCCAGGAGGAGGCGTGTTGATCTGTTAATCTGATTGCATTCAGCGAGAGTCCTTGCGGAGTTGAATCGATCTACGTAAACCGATAGTTTCAATGGGAATGAGCCCTATGTACATTGGACTGATTTTTCCTCCATTTCATTTTGCTATATCTAAGTGATAAATTGCAGCCAAAGTTTAATACAACAGCACATTTACTAATCATGCGTTTCCATTTGCTTCCAGAGTGAAGTGTAATTGGCTTCCCTCACGTGGACGGCACGAGATGACAGCCAGATTCTGAAACTATTAACTCTGGATTAACCGAGACCTTCAGAGACGTGATTCAAATCCCCTTTTCTCCGCGAGAATCCTTGAAAATATTGACATTCTATTTTAGAAAGGTTAGGCGGTGTGGAGACACGGTAGCAAGACAACACACATACTTCAGCTTTTTGCAAGGACAATAAATCTCATATGAGACTATATAGGCAAATGTGTATTTGTCTAGTGTCTTTGTCTATGATGGTCTAGCTTCGGAGACGCTGTAAACGACATGGGCGACGTTGTCATCTGTATTCACGTGCGCTTTGATTTCAGAGGCTAAGAGTCACACAACAGGCACAAGCTACATGAATAAAGAACAGAATAAAGACGGCTTCGATTTCTAATGTTGCAGGTATTTAATGTGACGCGCTAAAAGAGGAATGAGACAAAGACTCATTCAATGTTGCCCTCAAAAACAGTTTTTCCCCGATTTCAAATAGATGAAAAGTAAACCGCTGAATGTGATCCAATTTAGATGAACGGTTTCAACGTTGACAAGCGGAAACGAATGACAGACGGATCTTAAGGTGGTTGGCTACGGACTTCAAATAGAACCAAAGTGATCGTAATATGCAATAACGTTACTGAGATTCACGTGAAAAAGAACCACGTGTGAGAACCTGACGCTGGTAATTGTTGCAGTTTGCAAAAAAAGCAGTCAAACAGAAGCAAACCGCAGATCTTCGTCAAAACAAGGTCGAGGACTGTAAACAGATACAGACCACACATTTCTATTGCCATCCCTTGGGTATTGTTGAAGAATTATAGCCAACAACGCTTAACGTGTTATTATTGAAAAGAGAATGCCAACCCAAGGTAGTTTATGTCCACGGAACTATTAAGGCACCCGCAATGGGAGTGTTTACAGTTTACTACAAGGAGAAAAGGCAACCGGCAAAATTAATTTGCCATTGCCTGTTTAAATTATTAAATCGCTAATGATTTCCTGTAACACGAGAGACAAGTACAAACACTTAGAGAAGAAAAGAAAACAATTTGAACTGACTATGGGACATATGTGTGCAAAAAATTGTACTTTGAACAATAACTACGGATTTCGAAGCCAATGACAATATAAGTTGACTTTTCACAGCTTGCATGACACCCCTCATGCTATCATTGGTCACCGGTATCCGCTGCTTCCACCACAGTAAACAAAAAGAAGCGCTGCCATTTTGTTTTAATATAACGTGACTAAATGTGGTCTAAGCAGTAATAAAACGCGCTGCAGGGCTGCCTCGTTTCTGGTGACATAAAAAGAAACATCAGGCAATTTCCAACGAGTTTTATTCATCGAATCAATGCAGAACTGTCACTTCGATGAAAGGTGATGTGTTAACCTGTAAGCCGTTGGTGACAGGTAACATAGATGAATGAAACTGTGAACTACCAGCTCTTTCACTTCGTCTTGTTTTGTGCTTTTGTTACTTCAAGCAGGCGAAGGAGTGAAACCTTGCGTTACAGCAATAAGTATGCCTTCATGGTAAGAAAACAACTGGAGATATATGCTAATGATTCAGAGAATAACATCAAATTAGCATTTTAAGAAAGAGAAAAAATGATGGAAGATGCAAAGGTAATATATGGTGTGGATTTCGATGGATTCCTGTAGCTGAAAAACAAAAACCAGATACAGCAGGTAACCTATCCAATACAAAACAAGAGACTAGCCTGAAAACGTCCAGTTAATCGTATTTCAATTGCACATATCCCTGCAGCTGTACAGCCACCTCCAACATTCATCATAATTATTCCTCGCAGCGAGGTGAAATTAAGTCCTAAACTCGCCTAAAACAACGCCTAGTCTTCACTTGCTGCGTTCCCCCACAGGACGTTAAATGATTAGTAATACGCAAGCGGGGGACACGATTTTAATACCAAATGCATTCAATCATATCCGTCACTGGATATGTCAGTCGTTAACTGGCAGCCCAAGGAGTGGGAACATTTACGCTCTTGGTGACTTGACTCAGCGAATTAAAAAATTCTTTCTCGGATTCTAAAATCGCTTCGAATTCAGCGTTTGGCATTTGTGTGAACAGCTCTACGTAGTTTGCGATTCTTTCTCATCTCTCATCGTACGGGTTGGAACCAAACGCAAGAAATCTCGCGGGATTGAAAACCAAGGTTTCATTGCAGGCTTGTGAGCTAGATTATAACTAGTTTGTCTCTTGGGTATAACCCGTTGAACATATTGCCTTCAGTGGGAGTCGATACATACATTATCTTACTTAGGTTACCCATATTACGTAAAATCACGCCACTGCTTGTCACACCACGGGTTACTGTATGGTGCATCACTGGTACAAAAACTGAAGAAGCTTGAACGGTTTTGGTCCACTCTACAACAAAGGACGGATAAATAGATTCTGGGAAGCATCACCAGCCTGAACACAATGGACACGTCGCCTTCATTTTCGGAATTTCTCAGCGATTCCGTCATCGCTAACAACACCGTTCCATCCCCTTTTCAAATGTTCAGCAACTCGTCCGCGAGTCATTCTTATGGCGTAAGTGGCCATCTGACCAGGATGGAGAAAGTGGACTACTTCGACAATGGTCAGTTGCAGGACAACTGCACGGGGTCGTTGCATGACCACGGTCTCTGTGACCAGGTGGAGGACAAAACCATGGGAGCGGCCGACGTTTTTCTAATCATAGTTCTATCCTCTATGATCTTAGTCACTCTTATTGGGAACGCTTTAGTCCTTCTCTCCGTCCTCCTAATACGAAAGATGCGGACGCCGGCCCATGGGTTAATCGCCTCGTTGGCCACTGCGGACTTCCTAGTGGCGGTTCTGGTCATGCCCATCAGCTTGTTTCGGGAAATCACCAAGACATGGTCCCTGGGACAAACAGTTTGTGATATGTGGATAACGTTTGATATCTTCCTATGCACGGCTAGCATGTGGAATGTGTGTATCATAGGCCTGGACAGATACTGGAAGATAACTAAAGATACGCATTACACCAACGGTCGGCTTTTTCTCCCGCACGCAGATTTGTATCATAATGGTGGTGATAGCCTGGGTGATGGCGGCGGTCATTTCTACCGCCCCTCTTCTCGGATGGGTAGTCGGTTTCGAGAAAAGTAACCCCACGGTTTGTATGATCAGCCAGGACTATTCGTACACGATATTTTCAACGTTTGGGGCGTTCTATATTCCTGGCATTGCCATTATTGTTATCTACGTGAGAATTTATAAATTCGCCATTCAGCGACTTAAGAAAAGAGCAAAAACAAGCGGCCGGTCGACAGGAGGGCTGGTTGGAGATAGCCTGCGTTCCAACCCCGATGGGGACCCCGCCGAAATCGAACCTGCACTAGCCATAGTTGTCGACCCCGCCCCCTGCGTGGCATGTAGCCCCTGCAAAGTCACGCGCACCAAAAGTTCGAGTTCTAGCACCGGAAGTCGGTACCGGGAAAGACCAGAGCGGCTACGCAGGTCGACCATCATGTTGGGAGTTATCATAGGTTGTTTTGAAATCTGTTGGCTCCCGTTTTTTCTAGTGGCAACAATAACGCCATTTTGCAAAGAATGCCATGTACCTTACACACTTCGCAGCGTGGTCCTGTGGTTAGGGTACTTCAATTCGCTTTGCAATCCTATAATATACGCGGTCTGGAATAAAGAATTCCGTAACGCCTTCAAACAACTAACAGAATGCAACATCTCGAACAAAATGAAAGCCTACGAAACTACGTACATATCAGACAGAAAGAGATCGCGCAGGCTCTCCTCTCTCCCGAGCAATAGATACCTGGGACCGCCAAGCTGTAGAATGGAGAGAAGTTACGCAGGGTGTCGGCTAGAAGTTAGTAATATAAACTGTGGAGACTCCACTAAGGCCTCAAACGTACGGTTTAGTAATAGCCTTCGAGCCGAAATATCGGCTATACACTAATTAGAGGTAGTTCAAACAGTAGGACAGTTAAAAGCAATGGTGCTATGACAAAGAGTTCCTTTTGGGCATTTGTCAACGTAATGACGCCATTTCAACATCGAGATGTGCGCGTTGGGATACTAAAGTGTGTGGCAGACGCTGTACGCACTACCACTTATGAGCGTTATGAGAGTTTCTAGTTCTGAGTATTTACATTCATAAATTTCATATTATATAGAACATATCCCCATTGTATACATCTGTTATTATATTGTTATTAAGACGTTAGACAACAGATATGCATTTGAGTAGGCCCCTTTTTATGTTGAAACGAATACGATATTGATTGAGGTATGAATAATTAATACACCAATGTTAACATAGATGGTTATCATTTTATTGAATCAGAGATAGGATAAGTTCTGAAATGGAGTTGGAATTAAGCATATTGATGTTAACGAAATTTTGATGACACGTTCCGAAATTGCAGTGTGTGGTGAGAGTCGATTTTGAACTGTAATGTATAACAACATAACTGTGTGGGCGTCCTAATTGCGGTGTAATACCGTTCCCTTTTATACTGAAATGATTAATCTACAACACAGACAAAATTGATGATGGAACGCGTCACCAGACGACTAATTGCATTGACGTGTCCTTTTGGGGCCTATGGGAACGCCTCACCCTTCCCCACCACCTCCGCCTATTTATAAGGTTCTCCCTTCTTCTTCCCAGAAAAAACAGCAAAACACGCGAAACAAGATTAACCCCAAACAATTTTGTCTTCATTAACCTCAAACAATTTGCCTTCACTTTATCCTACACATTACTGTTCAATTTTCCTTGACTACTATTTTCTGTTTTATCCCCCCCCCCCCCCCCCCCCCCGCCCGTCCCGAAGCAGATTCATACGATTGCAAACTTGTTATAATAATTGTGTCGTCTGATGACATGGTCAAAAACCGATCAGTATATTGTTTAAAAGCATAATGAATGCGACGAGAAATAATGTAAATTAACTCTTTATTTGGAATTATGAAAAAAACTTTGTCGTGTTACAGTCAGCCAATGAAATTCCGTTAATGCGTGCATGTTGACAAGGCATTTAATTAAGCTATTAACACTGTTTAAAAGACAATGTCTTTGAGGTACCGAAATGGCCATCAGCAGGCATTTGTGTAATGCCATTGAGTATTTTTATGAAAAAAAGTTGATTGATTGTGATTTGTTAAGCTACATATGAGTTAACAGACTATTTAAGGACATTTTAATTTGCTTAGGTTTGACAAAAAAAGCAGCGACACTGGAGATCGCATATGATGACCAGAGGGGGGATGATAAGCGCCAGCAAATGTTTTTTTTTTTTTTTTCAATCTGAAAGACTCGTTTCTCGTTTTTGGGTACCGGATTTGGAACGACTGCCGCTGGTGAAGATGGCATTTAGAAAATATATATGGCGCAAGTGCAATCAAAACCAATATATATACATGTAGCCCCCGTGACTTTAATTTTGAAGTACAGTGATACTGCAGTCTGTATAACCATACATTCACAACAGGGCCGTAGGCTGCCAGGGGGAGGGGGAGGCTGGGACAGCCAAGGGGAGTAATTACTCTCACAGAAAAAAAATTAAATATATCTTTGGGGTGTCTTTAAAAAGTGTTTCCCTTCTCCTTTCACCAAGTCCAACTGAAGTTATTTTGCTTTCAGTCACCGTCCTAACGTGTACAAAGGCGGTACATTTTGCACAAAAAACTTGTTTGCATGTATTGTAGGCTTTCAATAAATCCCCCCTACCATGGTATTTTCCTACCCTACGGTCCTGTACAAGAACAAATACAGTATATGGAATTCTGCACACTAAGTGAGCGTGGAAGAAGTGGATGCACAACAATTGATTGACATAATTATTTCTATCAGTGCTCTTGTCTTCGAAACGCATCTTCGTCACGTAAGTTCGTCATTATTTTACACTTTATGGCTGTTAACTTCGTCATAAAAGCCTTTTTTTGTTAAACTACTGCCTGTTCCCATCTTAAATCAAGAAGTCTGGCGGGAATTTAAGCATACATAGTTCTAGTTAAGATGCACGTGAAAGTTAGATATTTTTAGACGAGAACAAGGTGCTAATATTAAAGCTTTTGTACTGCTTTGGAGTAATACAAAAAATATTGTTACATGTACTATGTACAAATAATAAATGATACGTGATAATATATTTTCAGAGTTTTAGTTTTCTTATAATTCTTGTTGAAAATTCTCGCAGTAACCAAGTCGTAGAGCATTTGCAAGTAAATTGAGACATTCTTGGTTTATATATGGGATGTATGTCGGATACATATACTAATAAGTCAACTCGAAATGAAAATCATGAAAAAAAATCTGTAAAACGATAGTTTAACCCATAATTTGCAATCTTTTACATTTTCTTGATTTCGAAGTAACTCTCTTCATCAGAACATGAAAATAACAACCTAATTTATTTATTTATTTGTTTATGTATTTGTTTGTTTTTAGAGGGAGGTAAGTAAGTGTTGTATTCCATTTTGCTTTTCATCAAGGGATTTCAGAGTCCGGGGCGAATAAAGTCTGTAATAAAGTCTCCCCAGTGTGTTTCGTACCATGCTCAACGACAGACCAGCTTGAAACTAAAACGTCCCCATGTGATCATTAAATTGGCTTTGGCAAATCTGAGAAGGAAAACCTCATAAATTTACAGTTAGAACAATAAAAAATATATAGTCTGCATTTCATAATATTGTGTATCCCCCAGTGTTCACACTTTGGTCACAATGCAAGAGCATAATTCCATTCTAATTTCCCCATTGTAAACACCTGCCGGTAATTTAAACCTCCAGCAAAAAGATTGCCATTTTTTAAAGCTCTGGAACCCTCTGAAAAATGGAGCAGCGATTTAATTTTCAGACAGTAGGCCGATTGCGTGACGAAACACGGATACCGAAAACCGATATGTGGTATTTTTGCCTTAAGAACTCAATCAGGTGCCAATGAAGATCTTCCCTTTTACACAATCGCACGTAATGCTACTCAGATTAATCGCAGCCGGTTGGTTAAATCGCGCCATATTGCAACTTGGTGTTATATTCGCCGGAAATTAAGTCCTAAACGTCTGAACACTGTATGCAAAGTTCACCAAGATAAGGAGATACTTTCTTCTGCTTTGCTTAGATATCTTGTTGAAACACGCAAGTTTCTTTCTCTTTTCTTGCTTTTTTAAGCCTTAAGATTGAGACTGTCGTATCTAAAAACTATAGGAAACAAGCAGATAGGTCGTCCAAAACTTTGGACCGAGTTACAGCGCTGAACTTGCATTTAGATTGTACGTTCATCTCGGATGTTATATTTGTAGTTGATAAACACTTTTACTTCGGGTAATGGCTCAAACTTTGAACCATTATCCGGAATACAACTGTTTATCAAAATCAGCATTGATTCAATTAACATTGATTTTGATTTAATCGCTGCTGTTAACCAAAGGTAACGTTGGTATTTTAATGTCGTGCGTTTCTTAACCTACTTGACACTACCCGATGTTGAAGCATTTATCAGGTGTATACGTGCAAGTCATCAAAAATTTTGCTTTTTTTTTTTCGTGGCCGCAAATTGGGTCTTAACCTGACAAATCCTCATATGTATGTTTGAACTTGATGTATGAATGGAACTTTCTCTTTTCTCGCTACATGAAACAAACACAAGCTGCGGTTCCACATCCATCGATAAGCCTCTGTTCCATTGGAGTTGAAAGAATAAAAAGGAGCTGAACCAGTTCTGTTTAGGTCAGGTTCAAGGGTGTGTAGGCTGATACACAAGACATATGACTGTGCAGAGCTCATTTTTCATGTGTTTGATATTTCGATTTGGCGTTACCCAACCCATCTATTTCTTCTTAATCTCACTATCTAGATATGGATTTCGTTTCTCGATTGCCCTAGTAGACTTATCAGAAACGTTTTATCGCCTGGCGAAAGGAAGCTTAGCTAACCCCTATCGCATTGGAACAAATAGATGACTTTGCTAACTTTGACTTGTCGTCATATCTGTGCATTTTGAGTCCAAGTGAGACGACTGAGATTAAGAGATTGACATGTTCGGGTCCCAGCTAAGCTTTGCTCTTCGTGTTTAAAGGAGGTGTTGATCTCCTTAAGCTCCTAGAAAATTGTATCACGAAATTGTTTTTATACAGTGATGCCCACGCCGGTGTATTTGGTGAATCATTGCTTAAAAGAAGATAAAAATACCGAGAATCGATTTTATTATACAACGTCTATTATTAAGATTGGAGGGTATCGAGCAAAGTTGAGAAGTTTCATTTTTTTTTTTATATTTTTCGTGCTTTCTATTTGGTTAAAAAAGGAAATTACGCCAGTGTGGTTTCTCAAATTGGGTCTATAGACCAAGATGTATATTAAAAGATTATGTGGTTTCTGCTTACAAAAGCATTCACTGGGAAAATTCTAATGGGAATTTTTTGTTACATGTACGGAAATCAAACATGGCTTGTAATGAAAAATGTCAAACATGCAACTGTATGTACCGGTATCTGCCGTTCTGTTGAAAATAAACATCTCTCATACGGGGTCTGCCGCCCATGTCGTAGATATATGGGAAAGTAATTTGTGTTCGGAATAACTACGTCCTTTTTTTTTTTTTTTTTTTTTTTTTTTTTTTTTTTTTTTTTTTTTTTTTCCCACATGTGCATAAAATATATACATACGAAAGAAGACTTAATGTCAAGTTTCACTTACAGCGTGCACGCTGGGGACATCACCCCCCCCCCCCCCCCCCTTTGGCCCTCTTGCACACGTCCCACAGGCAGGAACACGTCACCAACACACTCGCACGTCACCCACGGCAAAACTGCTCGGGCAGTAACAGCATCCGTTTGAATTGATAAAAGTATTTAGTGGAAACTTGCTGTGTCTGCGATGCTGCGTACAATATGATTTGAGTCAATACGTCAAAAACCATGAAATAAATTCCCAAAGACGTAATCAAATTCTAGTTAATTTTTAAATCATACCTTTCATAAAAACAGATAAAGAAGTTATTGTAATTGCTAGGACTTAAATTATGAACTGAAAGCGTGGTTGCATGCGGGGCGTTTAATTTGTTTTTGCTTATCTTGCTGTGAAAGAAACAAAACCTTTTTTTTTCAATTCATTATTCATCAGAATAGGTATCAGTTAAGGTTTGTTAGAAAATGAAGCCTACATGTAGGTCAATAACTGAAGTCCCGGTGTGCCAAAAGTCCAGACACAAAATTTCGTCTACTTCAGTTCCAGATTAGCCCATAGTTGTTGATATGTATGATCAAAACTTTGAATTACCACGCTGACACCACGCGCCACCGACGCGGACATATTGAAAAGTGCATGCACCTCTATCCAAACCCATTATCCACTGGTAGGCTTAACAGTACGGTGCGGTAACCAACATGTTCCATATTTCTTTTCTTTTCTTTCTTTCTTTCCTTTCTTTCTTTCTTGTCACTTAAATGATAAAAGTACAAAAAGTCCACAAGAACTCCCCTTGTCTTCGACCAGGATTAGGCCTACTCAGTTGCCTGAACGTTGTTTTTATACCGGTGTAACGAAACTAAAGGTCCGTCTAACAGAAAGTCCGCCCTCCATTCAGTTATACTGGTTAGGGTTAGCCTTACCAAAGTGAGTCAAAATCTAGGGCGAGGCTTATCTGTACAAATGAATGGGAAGCGGACTCTCTATCATAGGGGACTCTCTGTCACGCTACACCGCATTGTATTTTCTGCAATAACTTTGACTTGATTCATTTTGATAATAGTCCTTGGTTGAAGATCGAGTTTTTCTGTTCTTTGATATTTTCTATTCTCATCGATTTTATCCGATTTGGTAGAATATCTTTCGTTTTGAAAAATTGCGAAATGAACTCAAAAACGTCGACTAAGTAGGCCCCTAAGATACAGAAAGAGATAGGCTTATAAGGATAATTTTATTGTTTTTTAAATAAATTTTATTAAAATAAAGTTAAGCGGCTTATACTATTAGGGTCAAAATGCACGTTTTTAATGACCACTGACTTGGGCCTTTCTGTTCCTAAAGGGATCTGTTAACAATTCATCTATCAATTGTATTAGTTTGTCTCCTCCTAGTCCAACGAAGTTTGTCTCACCTAGCGCAATTACATCGACCTTGACCTTGGCACGAAATTGACATGTTACCGCCGACAGGATGCAAATCACGGTAAGCATATGGAGTAGTAACTGTATGGTGTGTTTTGTCCATGTTTAGACAGATTTTGATTGTGGAAAGGGATGTTTGATATTTATGATAACTATATAAATAATTTCTCCACTCGGGAAAGGTGAGTGCACATTAGTAAGGGATTTGAAGCGGTGTGTGTTAAGTTATTTTCTAACTTGGTTGCGTAGTGGGAGGGACCTTGCTTGCTATATACTAGTAATTTTATAATAATTTTGCTATTTAAAACTGTGCTTCTTTACTTACTGGCGAAGCTTAGATAAAAAGAGAGTGTTGTGTGGGTTTTTGTTGGTAATGCTAACCTGAAGGACAAACAAGTGATTTGTAATTTGAAATATTCAAGAACGCGGGTTGAGAATTTTTAATATTTTACGGTTGGCCTTATTCTGGGAAGATTAGTATTTGATTGGTAAGACACTGACTTAATTCATCATTTCATTAAAATTACTATAATAAGACCAGTAAATTATTATTTGATTGGTAAGACACTGACTTAATTCATCATAATTACTATAATAAGACCAGTAAATTATGTATATAATTTTCTTAAAACATACCATATCATGTCATCTTCTGTTATACTAGTAGCATCTGTCATGAAAAATCATGCATTAATAGCGCTCCTACAGAATTTTTCTTATCTGGACTTGCCTTATTAATGCTATAAGGGAAAGTATGAAGATGAATATACTATATAGAGAGGCATCCCAAAGTGTTCTTATTTGGTCTTGTACAACAATTCAAAGTAGAAGGCCTGTATTTACTTACATTGATAACTAAGAAATACATAAGCATATGCAGGTCCAGATCCGACCCCCCCACTTGGATAGGGTTAATACAATATATGTCAGATGCTATGGAAATATTACCAGGTTCTCATTATACATGTATCCTCAAGCGAAACGAACTAACATACAACAGATTTGGCTAAATATTGATAAGATATTAGCGGAATAACAAAACAAAACTGTTTATAATATGTATTTTTATTTCTTGCTCAAAATAAGATCAGTATTTCAGTGACTGAGCATCTGTATTATAAGTATTTGTGTGCACTACAGTGTGCGTGCGCCTTCGGATGTGTGAGGCTGTATGTGAAAAATGTGTGTACGAATGTGCATATACACTATATTATATTAAGACACACAATCTATTATATCTCTAGTTCGTATAGTGGTGCACAGTATCACTTTGCTTTGTTCACATATTGTTCAGTTTGTAATGTACTCTGTAATGTACTGAAGAATTTTGTATATTGTATTGTACGTTATACAATAATAAAATAATATTTCAGTGACTGTGCACCCATAAAAGTGTATGTATTGTATTTTAATACAATACATACATGATAAAATGGGAAAAGTTTGGGTCTAAAGAAAAATTCTTTTTTTTTTTTATTAAACATATATAAACACAATACAGCACATTACAAAGAAGACAAACATACAAGAACATGCAATACATCACAGAATAAGAAAGCACATTTCAGTACAAATACAAAACGATACACTACTAGTACTTCAGTACAGTTTTATAATTTAATACAATACATACACTTTTAAGTTATAAAACTGTACTGATGTAGTGTATTGTTTGTATTTGTACTGAAGTGTGTTTTCTTATTCTGTGATGTATTGCATGTTCTTGTATGTTTGTCTTCTTTGTAATGTGCTGTATTGTGTTTATATATGTTTAATAAAAAAAAAGAATTTTTCTTTAGACCCAAACTTTTCCCATTTTATCATAGATGAAATGAGCTGACCCACTTTTATGTTTGAGAAAAAAAATTAAAAGATATTTTAAAAGGATGAAGAAAACCAAATTTTAATATAATTTATATATAATATAGAAGGAGCATGCAGTTGCATATGATAAATAAAGCAGAGTGGTTGAAAAGGGAAGGATATTAATATCAGTCTGATAACCAGCTGGACTATCCACTTCGTTTAAAGGTCAAATCAATGTACTAGTAGCTAGAGGATTAATTAAATTATCTAAATATTTCTGGAAAATATAAAATTGCACATTTTCAGATTTGCACCAACTGGTTGCTATGATTCTGAGCTATTGGCATTTGCAGTTAACAACACCCATACGAAAGAAAATTGCCAGAGTCAACACGGAGACTATTATTCGCCTATACTTGGCTAAGATATTGATTGGTTCTGTACACAACATTATGAGCAGTGCTTCTTTTATTAAGGCTTATCCCGTCCTTCCCTGACTGCTAAATTGCTTGTTTTCCCTTTTTTCCTCTTGGTAAATATAATGAAATAAAAACAGATACAGTAATAGATATTTTTAGGACTATAACAATGAGAGAGAAGATGTTATACCAGTCACTGAATGAGCTTTAATGTAGGGAATGTACCTTTTATTGATTTGCTAAGCACACTGGATGAAACTAAGATTGTGGGTGTGTTATTAATGTTTTCATTTCCTGCTTGTAAAAATATCTATAGTTAATAAATGGAGAGAGAGAGAGAGAGAGAGAGAGAAAGGAGTGGTTAGATGACAGCTGAATTGCCTGTTGTATAGTCAAGACAACAACTGCCATTATTTACCAACATAGTCAATATTTCAAAATGTCACCTTGACCATTAAAAACTTCACCATTCATCTTGTTACTGAATTACTTAAAGCTGACATGAAAGTTCAGCTGTAGAGCATGTCAATCCACGTGCATGAAAAGGTTGTTATGTAAGTCTTGTTATCAGGTTATATATTCCACTCTAATTCACAATTGTTGTGACACCTTATTATGCTGGTTATGACTATTATCTGTTAATCCACACATTACAACTCTGCATCTCATCCTGAATGGTGTTTTATAATTCTGTTTCAATGAGTACGCTGGCAAGCGTACATATTTTTCTACTCATCAAGTTGGGCTTAGAAAGGTAAGGCTAATTGTAACAATTATAATGGAATGCCAATGGGAAAAGGTGAATTTTCCACTCTTGGGTTAGTTTAGATTTAATTGTTTGATCCATGTAAACCCTGTATAGATTCGTATTGAATAGGATGGCAAGATGGACTGACAAAGATATATATTGAACCTTGTTTGTTTACAATTTAGAGATAACTGTCACGTTTAAGGTGTCTCTTAGCTGATTACCCTGGATTAGTAAGGGGACTTGAAACTCCCTCTAAGTGACAATTTATAGTCAGATTATTTTTGTACCCCTGGCCTGAACTATGAAGATATGAATTGTTAATTACACATTGTCACATTGTCCAAGTGCATTGTCAGAAGGGCCAACCTACCATACTAGTTGGTACGACTTGTAAACAGGTGCTCTTGGTCTTACATGTATTGTTTTGTTCAACCTGTGATAGACATGGTTAAACGTGACCAGCTGGGAGTTATATCGTATGATATGATTCCCTGACGTGACCAAGGCTCAGTGCTCTTTGTTAAATCCTTGGCATTTCATTCACTGAACTGGAAAGATGGTATTTGTATGTATGCCCAGTCTTCCTCTCAAAGGCCACAGCATGTTTATATATTGTATGTATTTCCATCCATAGTTCATGGTAACACTCAGTGGGCCATACAATAGCAATTATAACATAAAAAGACCCTTTCTTGTCAGGCCACTATATGTTGTCAATGCATGATAATCGGGATCTTTTAAACCGTATAAAACCCACCCGTATAAACACAGATTTGCTGTGAATGATTGGATTTTTTTCTGATTATGTAAAAGTTGCCTAAATGATTGTTGCCATTATGTAAACCAGTATCCACACCTCGTGTGTTCTACATTTGATGCTGGTTTTATGGACTAGTACTCATTCTGCTGGCAACTGGCTTGAAAGAGATCTGATGTATTTGTACTAGCTCTACTGTATGGTTGAAGTGGAAAACAAGTATGTCAGTATGCACATAGAGTTATATCACTCTGGTGCAAGTGGTATGGATCTCCACCCATTGTTATGTGCAATATGTACTGCTGACATGCCATTGATGTCAAAAACACATATATACTATGTGTGGAGTTCTACTTTCATTGAGATCAATACCAGTACCCGGTTGCATAACTGAGCCCAGAAAATGATTGAAAGTGGTTTGAAAAGATAATGCTGAAAACGTCACATTGAAAAATATTGAATTTTGTCAATAGAAATCTTTACTTTGTTTACTTCTGTTTCATGGCAGAGATTTAAATAGACCTATAAATTTTGAATATTCACTATTTTCACAGGCATTGCTACTAGCTATGAGGAGTACCTACTAGTACCATTGCAATAAGCAAGTAATCATGTGTTATGATATTATGTAAAGTACATAACAGGGCACTTGGCACATTTCCTCCTTTTTATGAACAAGGTCATTTGTGGGACCTACGTTGTATAAGCAGATCTTTTGTAGAAATTTTGCTGGAAGACAGGGACATACATATACTAGTATATACATGTAAATCCTTTGTCTTTTGACTAATTTTGACTTAACCGAACTGTTGTCTCTGTAAGTATGATTTTTTTTTTTTTTTTTTTTTTTGCCAAATCGTGAATTGTTGATTAGTGTCACTGCCACATGCATGTGAACGTAAACACCTGTATACCTTTAAAGTATATATATCAAAAAGACCTTGACCAATGATAAAGACTGTACACATTAAGATGTAACGTGGACCTTATATTTTGTTTATCTGTAACAGTTGTCTTTAAACGCAAATCGCAGAAATGCTGTCTAGATAGCAATGATGATCAACTCTGAATGAAAAGTGAGTAATTATTATATATATATATATATATATTATTTTTATCATTGAATGTATGCAGTATGAGTTATTAAGACACGATAAAGGAAGAAGGGTGATCTTATGTATATGTGTACATGTGCGTGGATGCTTGAGAATGTACAAAGGTGCACATGCATCAAAATCATGGCTGAGACTTTTTCCACAATTAGTTACTAGTAATCCTTTTTCACAATATGGGAGTTGAATTATCCAAAAAATTACAATTGTCTTTAAGTCAAAACATGTTGTCTTTGCCAATGACAGTTCTGATTGTGATGCTACTAGCTTAATAGTATCTGAAAAGTTCTAAATGAAGAGCTCTGCATCTGTCTGAACATATCAAGCATGCCGAGNAAAAGTACCGAATTTTTAATATTTTACGGTTGGCCTTTATTCTGTGAAGATTAGTATTTGATTGGTAAGACATTGACTTAATTCATCATTTCATCAAAATTACTATAATAATACCAGTAAATTATGTATATAATTTTCTTAAATCATACCATATCATGTCATCTTCTGTTATACATGTACTAGTAGCATCTGTCATGAAAAATCATGCATTAATAGCACTCCTACAGAATTTTTCTTTAGACCCAAACTTTTCCCATTTTATCATAGATGAAATGAGCTGACCCACTTTTATGTTTGAGAAAAAAAAATTAAAAGATATTTTAAAAGGATGAAGAAAACTAAATTTTAATATAATATACAAGGAGCATGCAGTTGCATATGATAAATAAAGCAGAGTGCAATTGGTTGAAAAGGGAAGAATATTATCAGTCTGATAACCAGTCCACTTCGTTTAAAGGTCAAATCAATGTACTAGTAGCTAGAGAATTTAATTAAATTATCTAAATATTTCTGGAAAATATAAAATTGCAGATTATAAATCAGATTTGCACCAACTGCATGGTTGCTATGATTCTGAGCTATTGGCATTTGCAGTTAACAACACCCATACAAAAGAAAATTGCCAGAGTCAACACGGAGACTATTATTCGCCTATACTTTTAGCTAAGATATTGATTGGTTCTGTACACAACATTATGAGCAGTGCTTCTTTAATTAAGGCTTATCCCGTCCTTCCCTGACTGCTAAATTGCTTGTTTTCCCTTTTTTCCTCTTGGTAAATATAATGAAATAAAAACAGATAATAGATATTTTTAGAACTATAACAATTAGAGAGAAGATGTTATACCAGTCACTGAATGAGCTTTTATGTAGGGAATGTACCCTTTATTGATTTGCTAAGCACACTGGATGAAACTAAGATTGTGGGTGTGTTATTAATGTTTTCATTTCCTGTTTGTAAAAATATCTATAGTTAATAAATGGAGAGAGAGAGAGAGAGAGGAGTGGTTAGATGACAGCTGAATTGCCTGTTGTATAGTCAAGACAACCACTGCCATTATTTACCAACATAGTCAATATTTCAAAATGTCACCTTGACCATTAAAAACTTCACCATTCATTTTGTTGCTGAATTACTTAAAGCTCACATGAAAGTTCAGCTGTAGAGCATGTCAGTCCACGTGCGTGAAAGGGTTGTTATGTAAGTCTTGTTATCAGGTTATATATTCCACTCTAATTCACAATTGTTGTGACACCTTATTATGCTGGTTATGACTCTTATCTATTAATCCACTGAGGGCAACTCTGCCTCTTGTCCTGAATGGTATTTTATAATTCTGATATTTCATGTTTCATTGAGTAAACTGGCAAGCGTACTGTACATATTTTTCTATTCATCGAGTTGGGCTTAGAAAGGTAAGGGTGCTTTCCCAGAGATTTAGATCGATCTAAAGATTAAGTTTTAGATCGACCTAACTCCCTGGGGGTTCATGCTAAATTGCAGTCAGCCGAGTGGGCACCATAGTTAATTACCCCCTTACAGCTTTTAGTGGGCGGAACAGATGCTTGAGCCAGCCAAGCTGACAGTAATCTAGTGAGACTCCCCACAGGGATAGATCGATCTAAAAATCTGTGGAAATGGGGTGTAAGACTAATAGTAACAATTTTAATGGAATGCCAATGGGAAAAGGTGAATTTTCCACTCTTGGGTTAGTTTAGATTTAATTGTTTGATCCATGTAAACCCTGTATAGATTCGTATTGAATAGGATGGCAAGATGGACTGACAAAGATATATATTGAACCTTGTTTGTTTACAATTTAGAGATAACTGTCACGTTTAAGGTGACTCTTAGCTGATTACCCTGGATTAGTAAGGGGACTTGAAACTCCCTCTAAGTGACAATTTATAGTCAGATTATTTTTGTACCCCTGGCCTGAACTATGAAGATATGAATTGTTAATTACACATTGTCACATTGTCCAAGTGCATTGTCAGAAGGGCCAACCTACTATACTAGTTGGTACGACTTGTAAACAGGTGCTCTTGGTCTTACATGTATTGTTTTGTTCAACCTGTGATAGCTGGGAGTTATATCGTATGATATGATTCCCTGACGTGACCAAGGCTCAGTGCTCTTTGTTAAATCCTTGGCATTTCATTCACTGAACTGGAAAGATGGTATTTGTATGTATGCCCAGTCTTCCTCTCAAAGGCCACAGCATGTTTATATATTGTATGTATTTCCATCCATAGTTCATGGTAACACTCAGTGGGCCATACAATAGCAATTATAACATAAAAAGACCCTTTCTTGTCAGGCCACTATATGTTGTCAATGCATGATAATTGGGATCTTTTAAACCATGTAAAACCCACCCGTATAAACACAGATTTGCTGTGAATCATTGGATTTTTTTCTGATTATGTAGTAGTTGCCTAAATGATTGTTGCCATTATGTAAACCAGTATCCACACCTCGTGTGTTCTAAATTTGATGCTGGTTTTATGTACTAGTACTCATTCTGCTGGCAACTGGCTTGAAAGAGATCTGGGCTCGGAATCTCGCAAGGTTCGCGATGTTGCGCACACGCTCTAGCATGGCTAGCGTGCGCTATCCCGTATCTCGAAAGAATCGCTATTTTGAGCGCCTGCGCTAGCATGGCTAGCGTGCGCTATCCCATATCTCGAAAGCTTCGCAAATCCCGGCCGTGCGCTAATGTCCAAATCGCCATTAGTTTCGAGGCTATTATTTGCGGCGATACAAACTAGTCGCAAAGGCCTCTGCGTATGCAAAATTCGTCATTTTAATGTGTCTTTCATGTAATTAAACATGGTGGCAAGTTTGGGTTGCTAGTCATAATAGCATATAATAAAACATATAACAAAAACATGGAAGCTTTTAATTGATTGAATCACTGGTACCTCTGATAGAAAAACTTGCGGTAAATATTCACGTGAAGAATGCCAAAGTCATATTTTATTATGCAGAAAAATTTCAAAATTAAACATTTCATACATCATTTTATATTTTCTGGTGAATTTCATTCATCTGTGTAGTCTATTGATAATAATAATAAATTTAAAAGTGTCATTTTCCACACAAAATGAAAAAGCAGAAACAAAGCATTCGGCCGCACCGTGACCTTCCTCAATGTCTATTATTGTGAGACTGAACACTACTCACCATTGTGTCAGTAATTGTGTCAGTCCAAGCTTCGCTTATTGAATTGTTTTTTGACATTTTATTGGTGTCAAATACTTCAAATATCAGTATTTGTAATTATGATATTCCTATAAATAAAAACAACCTCTTGATTTGCGTCATGGTGAAAAAAATTGCATTTTGTGTAATTGTGTTATGACGTCTTCACTTTATGCGGCAATCGAATATTAGTAGAGTTTGAGGTTATAATTGCGTTGCGTCTGCTAAGGCTTCGAGATAGCAGGTGGGTGCAATCGCACTAGCAAATAGCGCACGCTAGCTATGCTATAGCGCGTGCGCAACATAGCGAACCTTTCGAGATTCCGAGCCCTGATGTATTTGTACTCTACTGTATGGTTGAAGTGGAAAACAAGTATGTCAGTATGCACATAGAGTTATATCACTCTGGTGCAAGTGGTATAGATCTCCACCCATTGTTATGTGCAATATGTACTGCTGACAAAAACACATATATACTATGTGTGGAGTTCTACTTTCATTGATATCAATACCAGTACCCGGTTGCATAACTGAGCCCAGAAAATGATTGAAAGTGGTTTGAAAAGATAGTGCTTAAAACGTCACATTGAAAAATATTGAATTTTGTCAATAGAAATCTTTACTTTGTTTACTTCTGTTTCATGGCAGAGATTTAAATAGACCTATAAATTTTGAATATTTACTATTTTCACAGGCATTGCTACTAGCTATGAGGAGTACCTACTAGTACCATTGCAATAAGCAAGTAATCATGTGTTATGATATTATGTAAAGCACATAACAGGGCACTTGGCACATTTCCTCCTTTTTATGAACAAGGTCATTTGTGGGACCTAGGTTGTATAAGCAGATCTTTTGTAGAAATTTTGCTGGAAGACAGGGACATACATATACTAGTATATATACATGTAAATCCTTTGTCTTTTGACTAATTTTGACTTAACCGAACTGTAGTCTCTGTAAGTATGAATTTTTTTTTTTTTTTTTTTTTGCCAAATCGTGAATTGTTGATTAGTGTCACTGCCACATGCATGTGAACGTAAACACCTGTATACCTTTAAAGTATATATATCAAAAAGACCTTGACCAATGATAAAGACTACACATTAAGATGTAACTTGGACCTTATATTTTGTTTATCTGTAACAGTTGTCTTTAAACGCAAATCGCAGAAATGCTGTCTAGATAGCAATGATGATCAACTCTGAATGAAAAGTGAGTAATTATTATTATTACATATATATATATATTATTTTTATCATTGAATGTATGCAGTACGAGTTATTAAGACACGATAAAGGAAGAAGGGTGATCTTATGTATATGTGTACATGTGCGTGGATGCTTGAGAATGTGCAAAGGTGCACATGCATCAAAATCATGGCTGAGACTTTTTCCACAATTAGTTACTAGTAATCCTTTTTCACAATATGGGAGTTGAATTATCCAAAAAATTACAATTGTCTTTAAGTCAAAACATGTTGTCTTTGCCAATGACAGTTCTGATTGTGATGCTACTAGCTTAATAGTATCTGAAAAGTTCTAAATGAAGAGCTCTGCATCTGTCTGAACATATCAAGCATGCCAAGCATCCATCTTTTGTAATTCGTGACCTTCCCTATAAAAGTGTCTACTAGGCGCTAAAGATTTGTATAACCAAGTTACTAATATATAATTTATATAACTGTACACTTATGTACATGTGAGTGTGTGTGTGGGGGGGGGGGTCACATGATGGTCCACGTGGCTGTATGTGACTGGCATTTAAAGGCCAAGTTTTGGGCATTTTATTCTGAAGTTAATGCTCTTTGCATGCAGCTCTTTCCACTTGGTTGCCTGAATTGTTCATGTCCTAAATGCATTATTCTTGCCTGTTTTTGATTCTTTTCTTTTTCTTTTTTTTCAGATTGTTTGTTCACATGTCAGCTGGTGTCTCTAGGTGAAAAGTAAAAATTGACATGCGGCTACGTGAACACTGCGTGCATGTACAACTCTAAAAGGACCAATAAGGAGCACATAAAGTTCAAGGTTTCTTACTGCCAGACAATGTGAACCTTAATTATTCAAAGTAACGTCCATCAGCAACAGACAATAGTTCATACTTAATTACAGTGGATACTGAAGTACTGTAACTAACTTGAAGGAAAGCTCATTCCGGACTTGTTATTGAAATTGGAGGATCAAATGTCAGGACTCCACCAGACCTTTTATTTGAGACAATACAGTCAACACATTTATTAGGTATTCCAGTTAGAGTGAGATTTGATGACTACTCTTTCTGAGATAAAAAACTGGAAAGAGATATTGTGAAAGGAAGTAAGAGAAGAAGATAGCCGGATTCTGAGAATTGTTTTTCCAAGTTGTTTTAACAAAGTAATTGGAGAAGTAAGAAAAAGATTAACATGATATTTAAGTGAAGAAACGATTGCCATTGGTGATTACAAAGAACCAAAAGCAAGATCTATTATTGTTATGAAATCTAAAGAAACGGGAGGAGATTTTATCATTTCGTGAAAGAGGTTTTTCTAAGTATTAGTATATTCTTTACAGGACAAACTTGAATGAAGTGTTGACAAATAGTGGTAATTTTTTTTTTCGTAAATATTTTCCCAATTCAAAATGGCAGGATTGCAAGACAAGTCAGTTTTGGTGGTGTCGAACGGTTCCACTGTGGTGACAACGCCATCTAGTGACATCATACACATGGAGGACCCCTTCAATAATCTGTACCCTGCCATCGTGCAGTGCTTCGTTATCATTCTGTGCGGATACATCGCTGGACGTTTCAACCTTATTGGTAAACTCCAGGGAAAGGGAATTGGCACTTATGTCTCAACGTTTGCCTTGCCAGCATTACTTTTCAAAAGCATGGCCACTTTGAATTTTAGTGAAGTGAACTGGAAATTTTTGGCCAGCATACTTATCGCAAAAGCAGGACTGTTTTTAGTGGTGCTTGTGTTTACGCTGATTCTTGTTCGGCCGATGAGCTACGGGAAGGCTGGATTGTATGCCATATTTACTACGCAGAGTAATGACTTTGCACTCGGCTACCCTATCAGTAAGTCAACGTGGTTCAGTTATGTCACACAATCAGGGTTAGATTACAGAATAAGGACAGGGTTCGAATTAAACTTCCATTATTCCTATATTCCTGAAGGTTAATATTAATTATATACCTGTACATTACAATTGCTCATGTTATGTGTGTAAATTAGTGAGACTTAAATAGATAATTTCCATTCTGGAGCTAGTAATGGAGATATAATCTGGTAAATTAATGGAGTAACTCTAGCAATTTGAAATTCAGATTCTAGTTTATATACTGTGATTTTCTCAACAGTTTTGGTTTTGATATTTTCAGACAGATCTTTTTTTTTTTTCTTTGTCAAAGTCTTACTCTCATTGTGTGTCTTCTAAGATTGTCATACACAGCAAAATTAATATAATTTGTATGTTCTAAATAATTATATGCCTGTCCAGTAATGGGCATGGCACCGAACTGGAGAAATGGTTTCTGAGGCCAGAGGGATACAAATATCCGGCCTTGCTTAGCTTGGTTTAATCATAGGGCCCCCACAAAAGGGTTGAAATTATCAAGACATTGATGTATTATGCCTATAATGTAATACATAGGTGTGGGAGCTTGGGAGGGGGTGGACTGGTGCCTTAATCATTACTGAAGGAAACAATATGACCAAAGAACATATTTCCCTTGCCTCTATTTTTTTTCTCTGAATTGTTATTATTACTATAGAAGTCCCTTCATACACAATATTAAATTAAAATTAACTTCCAGTGCACATGTCATTAAGATATGTACTGTGCTATTTACATTAAGAAATATATATCATTATTATTACATTTCCTTCCAGTTAGTGCTTTGTACCAGGGAACGCACCCAAACTTTATAGAGTATATCTACCTGGCTGCCCCTATATCTCTGGTCATACTGAATCCTATAGGCTTTACCATGATGGAACTGGAGAAGAGAAAAGAATCTGGGGAACATGAAAAGTCCAGCAATTTAAAGGTTTGTGGTATAAAAAAGTGAATATTGATATTTGAAGATTGTTTAGCTAAGATGGTCTTGTTTTTTGTTAGCCAGATACGAGTGATTGGAGAAGCAAGCTAAATTTACTTTTAAAATTGCAATATTAAATAATCATATTTTTCGTTTTCATGCTCTTCTTTTTGTTTATCACACCAAGCTGGGCGTGAAAAAACATTGCATGATATTTATGTTCTGGAAAAAAGTGTTGCATGGTATTTTTAAATTAAGCTTTGACTGCAACTTGAGTCCTTTGCAAAGTTGGCCTTGATAGATGTTTTCCAGCACTTAAAAGATAATAAAGAAATGTTATGACCTCATTGCATGACTAAACATGTTTGTCTACTTTCCAGCTGGCGCTTCATGTGTGCAAGGGAGTTTTGCTCAATCCTCTGGTATTCATGACTATTATTGGCATCATTGGGAACTTTGTGTTCAACCACAAGTTGCCTGCTGTGATTGATGACATTCTGACTGTGTTAGGTGAGGAAAGGTTTGGAATAGGTGTGTGTGTGTGTATGTATGTGTGTGTGTGTGTATGTGTGTGTGTGTATGTATGTGTGTGTGTGTATGTGTGTGTGTGTGTATGTGTGTGTGTGTGTTTGTAAGCAAACATTCGTGTGTGGATGTGTGTGTGTGTGTATGTGTGTGTGTGTGTATGTGTGTGTGTGTGTGTGTATGTGTGTGTGTGTGTGTGTGTAAGCAAACATTTGTGTGTGGATGTGTATTTTTGAAAAAAAAACTGAAAATAACTTAAACAATTCATATCCTAGTGAGATTACTGAATTGTAAAAACAAGGGATAATGTTTAAGATCATTGGTTATGTCAGTTTAGTAGACCCTTATACTGATTTGTTCTGTATTGAAGTAGACCAGTTTTGGGGCTTTTAAATCAGGAACAACTATCAGTTTTCAAATCTTTTTTGATGCAGCTCATTGCCTTTATTATCGGACATGGGGGGAAAATGCCTGTCCGACTGGTCATGACCACTTGAAATGCCAGAGGATCTGCAGGATTTCTGATGTCGCAGGTCATCTGGCCTAGCAAAGTTAATGTGAAAACACAATACAAAATAATAAATCGCCATATTGTAAATAGTTTGGACCAGCACTAAATTGGGAGGACCTTCAGATGCTTGAGTGCAGGTTTTCCTGACCTTCAATATGTCTTAAGTTTTCCCCATGTCTGATTGATAGCAAACTGAAGTGTGACACAGATATTGTCAATGTTCCTGTAGGTCAGTCCTTCAGTGCGGTGGCGCTGTTCTACCTGGGGTTGAGTATGGTGGGAAAGATACAGCACATTGGAGGGAAAGCACTTATTACCCCTATACTCCTGATTGTGGCCAAACTGTAAGTATCAAATGGGGCTCTTGTAGATACGTCAAGTATTATTTTTTGTTGAAGTAAGAACTGAAGAAAAAATGTGGTTCAGACATCCACAAATTGTGTGATAAGTTGCGGCAAGTTTTTTTACCTACTTGCAAAGAACCAGCTGCTTTATTAATTTGATTGCTGAATCTTGTTTGATACTTTGCTCTTATTTTGCTCATAGTACTTGGGATGAGTAATACATGTCATTATATTTTAAACCCTGTTTAACTTAAGGTTGTAACCCATGTTTTTAATTTTGTCATTACATTTATACAGCTCAACCATTGTGACAATTGTCTTCTTATTAAAGTGGTAAAAAAGATTCTATTTTGTACTTGGATTTATTATTTTCCAGAATCAAAAGTCATGTGCTAAATTAGGACTTGAATTTGTAATTTTCCAGGCTCATTCTTCCCCTTGTCACCAGAGAGATTGTCATAGGTCTACAGCCCAGTGTGAATAGAAACGACACCCTTGCCTACAGTTCATATGGTTTTCTTTACGGTACCATACCCACTGCTCCCAGTGTATTTTTATATGCCAGCACGTATAACTTGGCACCAGAAACAGTAAGTATTTAATTAAAACTGAACTCAGTTTTGTTAAAAACTTGAAAACTTTAGATCATAACATAAAATGTGCCTCTAAACAATCTGTAGATAAGGTAACATTGATTTTAAACTATTGATAACTTTTTTGTACTTACTAGTTAGTTTTTAAAAATCGTTTTTTTTTTTAAGGTAATATGACTCTAAATCATGCATTCAAATGCCAATGCCAGTGGGTTAATATCACTGGCTTTAAGCTGATCTGGTCTAACGATAACGTCTGGTTAAAAAGCCAGCAGCAACTGTCCTACAAAGTTTACTAGTACATTTCTTTTATGTCAACTTTCAGATTGCTGCAGGAACCGTCATAGGGACCTTCCTGTCTGCACCTCTGATGTTTGTGTCAGCACGTGTCATCACGCTACCCGTGTTAGATCCCGACATGTATAAAGACATTTTGACAATCACTTCATTTGATGTCAGTATACTGGGTATAGTTTGTAGTGTAAGTATCCTTCATTCTTCATTTCTTAAGCTTAAAAGTGATGAATAATTATAATAGTTTGCCAAGATTGTGGGCCTAATTGATATGCATGTAACTCAGTGTTTTCATTTAATTATTGAACTATTTTCACATTTCTTAGATGGGTTGGGGCTTTTCCTCATTTTCAGGACTTCTTTCTTTCTGATTTTTTTTTTTTTTTTTTTTTTTTTCTTTTCCTTTAGGAGTAACCTCTTAAAGGAAAAGGAAGCATGGAAGTATGCAGGCTAAACTTGGTCAAAAAAATCTCAATTATAACAAAACTGAACATTGATACACATGCTGCTTTTTCCCTTTTTCAGGTCTGGACAATGACTGTGATGATTCTTGGTAGAAAATGGAGAAAAGTGCCACACCAGTTTGTAATGATGCTAGTGATAGCACAGGTAAAAACCTGACCATATCCAGAATATCCTGTCTCTTCAGTTATTCAAATCTGTGGTGAAACAAGTAGCTACATTTATATGTACATTAAGTTGATTTTTTGTTTGTGCTGGAATAATTCTGATAAAATCTATCTTTGATAACTTCAAAGCTTATCAATGTACCTTGATCAATATAGTAGTAGCTGACTAACTTTCATGCTATTATTGTTTGGATGTTACTTACTTCAACAAGGTCCTCGTGATCATTTAAACACTTTCAGTCCCTGAGCTATTTAGGTGATGCACCTTAAACAATATAGTTACTGTAGTAACTGACCAACTTTAATGCTATTATTGTCTGGATGCTACATACTTCAACAAAGTCTTCATTTGAACACTTTCAGTCCCTGGGATGTTTAGGAATGATAATATGGCATCTTATTCCATCCAACCTCGGCTGGGCCCACTACATCCAGTTTGTCATCCTCCTGGTCGGAGTGTTCAGTTCACGCTGCATGACCGCCATGGTGGCTCTAGCGCTCTGCTTCCTTAAAGTGCGCAGCATCTGCTTTGTGCTACGGAACCGGATCTGTTTGTTGTTTGGTGGATTTGGGTGAGTGGCCTAGCTTCCACTTTAAAAAGCAGAACTACAATTTGCTGCAAAACTTTACTGTATACATTAGCATTAGTTGTAATGGTTGACTCTCTAATAGGAAGCAGTGCCAAAACTGTGACAGTCACAAGCAAGCTTGGGAACTTAAATAACCAACAGTTACGTCAGACTTGGAGGTTTTTATAGCCCTTTATATTGATAAGTAAATGTGACACAAGGGCAAGTCTGATACAGTAAGATGATACTGAATATCAATTTTATTTCCATTTTTTCCAGGGTCCCTATCCTCTCCACTGGCCTCTTATTGATATTTACTGCAGGGCAACGCACCACCGATAATGATCCTTCTTTCCAATATGGCAACCCTCAGGTAATGATTTGTAAGATTCATAGAAAAGTTGGCCATTTTATTTGCCAAAATAGTATAACTTTCTGCAGTGTTATAAATTGTGTCATGAAAGGGGTTTGTGTGAGACATCAAAGACACATTTACACTGAAGATAGGACAGCCCATCTTAGTGTGACTCTTTTTTTTTTCTGTGGGAGACTTCCAATGATCCCTGATGTAACATGCACTGCAATGGAGTGGTATTTGGCGGGAGAGTGTGGATAGCATTTTCTGCCTATGGCGAGCTTACATTGTACCTCAGTCAGGCACTCCACAGTGAGATCTAGAGCAGGTGGACCTATCTCCAGTGTAAATGCACCTTTTGAGTATTCTGGACACAAAGGGCTATTCATGCAATTTTTTTTTTTTTTTGCAAAAGTTAGCACTTGGTATATTACAGCAGTTTATAGCAGTGTATATTGTTGTCTGCTTTTCATATATATGTATGTGTCATTTCTTATCTTACAGGCATATTTGCCCACATATTTTCTTGGTACTGGTTATATTGCATTATCACAGCTTTCAGCTGATATATCTTACTGTGCTGTAGGTTGAAGAGGCCCTAACGGAGCTTTTTAACAAACAGGTGGCATTTCAGCAGATCATAGCCGCTTTTACTTGCTTGACTTAGACAGGTGCTCTGATTTGGAATCCTAAATGTGATGCTGCTTTTACTGGCCTTTTCCATGTTCAAATTTCTATCAATGCAATAAATGGAGACTTAAAATGTAAACATATTAATTAAAGTTAAAGAATATGATAAGGTGTTAACCTTTAAGTTATATTTTTTAATGAAAACTTTATGTAAAATTTGTCATAGTTTAAAATTCAGCTAACCATAAGTATTATTAATGTTTATATAAATTTGCTTTGATATTGTTATGCATTTTGCTTTACCTGCTAAAAATTACATTTTTTACTTGGAAATTGAAATTATATATATTGCTTTGCTTGTTACAGCTTATTTTGTTAAACTGCATAATTTCCAATAGAAGTGTAACCTTTCAACTTTTTGCTAATTCATTTCAGCTGTTCTCAATGTGTTTATTATATTTCAGTAATTTACTTTGAAAAAATTGGTAACAAGAATAAGTATTGTTCGTAATAAGTTAATGATCATCTTTTGATTCTAGTCGATCATAATATTGAAGTGTGCTCTGTTTCTTATAATTTTTTGACTATTTTCTCATAAAATTTTGTTTTAGTGCTTAAATTCCTCTTTAATAGCATCAAAATATAAATACGGGATGAGACTTTTTTTTTTAAATGGAACATCTTTTACCTTGAAATCACTTAACCAAAATGATTTGTTATTACAAACAAAATATTTAATTAAAGTATCTATATGTGTCAATATATTTGTAAAAATTATCTTAAATATTTTGCTTTCATTGGATAACAGATGTTTTAACTGAACACTAATTTTGAAGGGATGCATTTTGAATTAACGATTTCAATAAGTCGTAATGGAGTTAATGGCATTTTCTCTCAAATTTCAAACATACGCTCATTCCAGTAATGAATATTTTCAAAACTATTATATTCAGTTACTTAAAGATATAACAACTCTCCATTTTGGCAGAAAGGGCATAAAATGAATTTTCTTGGCCAGGGTAAACAACGTTTCCATACTTACCAATGGTCAATGAATCCATTCTGACATTCATAGTTGGTCAATTGTTTTTCAAGAGATTATTATGAAGGTTCTTGTGGTCCGATGGCAAGCACAGATTTCAGAATAATTGTGATAACCACCGTTTTGGTGGTAGAATGGAATTTATTATATTTCTATGTAATGTGGACTTTTGAATCTCATATGAAGAGTTGTTATCCCTTTAAAAGGTGTGCATCCTCTGAAGAGAACCCTAATCCTTTATCTTTGTCTAAAGAAATGTGGTCAATCAGTTTTGTTCAAATGCAGTGAGAAAAAACTGTTTAGTCATATGTCTTTCATCATTCCCATAATTCTCTTCCAGTTCATATTATCGGCTGTTATCCTCTTCATTTCCACCATCTTGACCATCGTCTGCCTCGTCCTGCAACATCGCTGGGACCGCCACCACCACAACTACCATTTGTTGCCACAAAATGGTAATACCACCACCAAGTATAAATCAATTAACCAGGAAGGCTTTGATATTCCTAGCGAGCAGGAAACTGATAATGAAATGCCTCAAGATATACTGGGAATGCGCCAACAAAGGCAGAGGAAAAGTCAGCTTGAAGGTGTTTGCATGTCTTTAATGGAGGGTGGTAGTAGTAACAAGGTGGCATGCGGTTCTTGCGAACAATGCATGAAGATGACCACTGTGGGTACGGACATGTGCTTTTTACTATTTCAAATTATTCTCTTTGAAAGATGGCGCATGCAAAAATACTTCCAATTAAGGTTTGGTAATACAGATCCTTGTCATGCCCTATGTATTAGGATCGCCACTGAAATGTAATGGGCTTGGTTATTTAGCTGCTTGAGTTTATCCAATCACTGATCAGCTCTAAACTGACCCTGTGTGAACAAACTATTTCATTTACTTATCTTTAGCACTAACACTTAAAAGGTTAGATTATTAAAAATAATATTGTCTTTTTGGTCTCAAACTTATAGCATTCTTGCCTTCCCACACATAGCTTTTCTTTAAGCGAAGAATACTAACATAAACCTTATATAACCAGCATGAAGGATTTTGTGAAGTAAAGTTAAAAAGATGACAAAGAATGAATAAGATTAATTTAAAAACTAACTAACAAAGTATCTATACATTTCCTAAAGTTTCAACATAAAAGTATGTCTCTCTATCTCTGCTTCAGTGTTGGATTCAGTGAGGACATTTAATGAATTAATTAATTTATTTATTTTCAAGAATTGTATTTATTTGGTAATATTGCACATCAATGAAAGGAAGCAAAAATTCTGATTTTCCAGATGTAGAGGACATAGTCCCAGATGCACCAAAATCCAAATCATCAAAGGCAGTAGGCTCACAATCTTCCCGGGATTCTATGAATTCTGCCCCAGAGCGCGACTTCAGGGAAGATACCTGTCTTCTCTCGGCCTCGTGTTCTCAGGCGCAACGACGGGAATGTCTGGAGAGAGTACGCCAATACCACAAAGATAATACTGCCATAGAAGAAGTCACTTTGCATTCTGACCCCGAGGCAGACGACGAATATCAGATTACCCGCCATGTTGTGATGTTACTGGTGCTGTTGTTGTCAATGCTCATTGTAAGTGATGGGATAATGCAAGCAAGCCATAATGATTTGAATTCTACCAGAGCCTGTATAGACAATTTAGACTTCTATAATGATTTATGATTTGAAACTTTATCAAAACTAATTTTAGTCAGGGTTTTGTTGATCAAGTCGTGTGTATCATCTTCATAACCTTAGCTTATTTATTTATTTATTTATTTATTTATTTATTTTTGAGGCACATCATTGTCTGGGATGCAACAGGGTCTTGTTAAAAATCCACCCTTGGACATCAACTCACTCAGGGACATTGGACATGTGGATGTCAAAATATTTTAGTTTAAAATCGTACCTGAATATATGCCCTCAAGTACATGAAATGAACAAATAAAATAACCCCCATCCCACCCCACCCCTCCCCCACCCCCACCCACCTTAATTAATATCATTTTGATCAGCAATTCCTGTCTTTTCCTTTTTAGGGTATCTTCCTATGTCTGTGGCGGCTTTTTGGAGAGTATAGGGAGAATATATCTTCTGGCGTGTACATAGAGATAGAGTTTCTGGATAGTGTATTTAATTTTGGACAGGTAATGTATTGGGTGATATTTCTTTTGATTTGATTTATTATGTTATGGGGAGTTCTTCACCAAAAAATGTCCAAATAAAGTGGCAATCATTTCAGAGGCAAATCATTAAAAACGAAAATATTCATTATTTTACATTCTCCTTTCATTTTTATTTACTTATTTTGTACAGAGTAAATGGATAATATATAATTATGATGTTCACACTGACTTTTTTTCCCTTACAGCCGTTTATTGTTTTTGCCATATTTGGACTAGATACTCAACTCATTATTATTCCATTTGTCAAAAAGTAAGTAAACAGTCATGCTAATAATTTATTTATCATTCATTTATTTATTTATTTTTGGTCAACAGGATAAACTTTTGAGTATTTTGTAGAATATGATGCTTTAATGATTATTGTTTTTGTTGTAGTGTTCTAGATATTTGTTTCCTTTGTATCTATCTGTACTTGTTAGATATATGTCTGCCTATTTACCTGTAGCTTAGATTTTATGCATTCTTAGTTGGGTCTATATTTTAGACAAGATCTGAACTAGTTCAAGTTTTAGTTTGTACCTGAATGTACTAATCTAAAATATGCCACTTAGATCCTGCTTTACAAATCTCACTTCTGTAGTTTGCGAGTAGTTAACATTTTTAAAATCGATTAAGTGAATTTCGTGCATTTGTTTTCACCATCATGAAAAAAAAGTAAAATTTGCATTTTCCGTTTAGACTAAAATACAAACAAAGATCTTATAGGTAATAAAATGTCTTTGAAAAAAACTTTTTGTGGCAGCCTGGAGCATGGAATTTGACATTACTGTGCAAACCCCAAGCAACATTTAATATGTGAATTGCTTGCAGTGGCTTACTATAATCGGAAAATTAGTGGCCTATGTAAAGGATGATGATTGAGTTTTATCAAGTTTGGGTTGACCATATTTTGCTAGTCTACAGAATGTTCCACCTTGACCAGGCCCCAGTTTCACAAAAAAACTTAAGACAGCTCCCTGACTTAGTTGACTACGATTTCCATGAGAGTGCTGTATCACTGTTCCTGACAGGGTAAGATGCGTCCATGTGACCAGGTAACTTTGGTAATGGTAACCAAGTTCTTAGTCAGGGAAACTGGCTTAAGTTCTTTTGTGAAACCAGGGCAAGAGCTCAACACCATAAATGGTTAAAATTTGCTGTGATGAAGTTTCCCAAATGCTATGTACTAGGTCTTCCCTACCCGCATTTCTAGTTGTCTTGGTGTGGCTCTGCTTTTCTACCATTTCTCAAAGACATGCATTGTAAGGTTGGTTTGTCACCATTTCTTGTAACCCGGGTAGAAGTGGGTGAAGGAGATTAATAGCTTTAAAAGTTTTAGTCTTTTTTTTTTTTTTTTTTTTGAAAGATTAACTTTAATACTCTTGTACTTTCAAAATACTGTCTTTTTTTATTATTATTCTTTGTTAAATCAGTAGCATACCCAGTAATCCACTTATATGGTGTTTAATGAAAGTAAATAACTAAAATGACATTTTAATGTAACTCTGTTAGATGTGTTCACACTAGTGGGCTTGATTTGGTCTTAAAATGCAATTTAAGAACACAAATAGTCTTACATGATCTTAAAACATGAGTAAGACCATTTCTAGTCTGACAGCCAATTAAGTTGTCTCCCCTTACACATTCTCCTATTGTGAGCAGAGGTGTCCTCTATTGTGAGGCGAGGTATCCCCCATTGTGAGGGGAGGAAACTGCTTGATCACTTAAGTAGATGTTAGAACATTTTTGATCTTAAAAGCAGATTCAGTCCATTTTAAGACTACTGCTATAATGTTTAAGATCGTGTAAGATCACTTGTGAACTTAAATTGCACTTTAAGACCAAATCTAGCCCACTAGTGTCATAAATAAAAATTTTAGATGGCAGTTGGTGTCTTAATGCAACAGTGATTTTTTGGAAAATTCACACTTGCATCCACTGTTTAGAGGTTATAACTTTGTAAAGATAAGAAAACTGCTACCTAGAATACTTATTTAATAACCTGGTTGCTTGGGCTTACAAGTGTTTGTATTGATGTTTGAGTGAACTTACATGTATGTGCATCGTGATGTATGATTTTGAGAATTGTTCGAGATTTTGTTGAAGGTTTTAGATTTGAAATTGAAAAAAATGAATGGCTGTTATGCATGACTTTTTTTATGTGTGTGTATTTGATGACTAACAAGTTTTTATTAATAACATGAACTTTTGCAGAAAATGATTACATATAACCGTTTTTCTTAATTATCAGATGTGAGTTTTAGATTCTTTCACACTAATGTTAAATAATTGCTTTTTTGTGCTAATTTTGCTTTTTTGTTAATTTTCTTATTAGGTTGAAATGTAGTAATTCTTTTTTTCCTTTTATTTAAATTTGCTTCTTTTGCCTCAACCATTTCCACATAATCATCATTCTCTTCAAACTGCCTGCAAAAAATACATGGGTCAGGAACTATATGTTTATTCCTGGCAATTTGATATGTCTTCCATGAGAGGATGATTGGTATCATTTTTCTCCTATAGATGGCGCAAGCTGATATATGGTGTAGAGACAATCCACATGCCAAGCTGGGATGAGCTGGACCCTGAGGTGAAACACACCTGTGAACAGTTCAATCACTATCACAAAGAAAGATGTAAGAAGGAGCTGGTCAAAGATAGAAGGTGAGAATTAATGGATGAGAGAAAGAAACAGAGGTCATTTTTATATTTTGCCAGCTATGTCCTACTTTTATTTGTGCAGCTTCAATGCCCAAAATGGACTTTGGTGGGATGGTTTTATTAATTGGCATCATGAGTGAAAGGGTGGGGGTAGAAAGATGAAAAATTATGACAAGAAAGCTGGGAAGAACTCCCCTTCAATCTCCTTAGTCTGCCATGTGTTTTTTTATAAGAATAGATGTCAATTCATTGGGAGTTTTGCCCTGAATGTATGTCCTTTGGCATATAGGCTGTATTGACTTTTGAGATACAAAAAGATGAAAGACATTTCTACCTTTTTTCGTGTGTGAATTAAGAAAAATTTATGGAAGTCTTATCAGGAGTTATGTAATTGAATCTTTCTCTTTGCCTGCAAGCTCCAGGAATAACTCTTTGAGTAAGTTTATAATCCATGTGGTGATATTTGTTTTTTGCCACACAGAATAGAGTAGTTATTTTTATTCCATTTTATCATGTAGCACTGTTAGTGCATGATTGCTGTACAGTATAAGTTATTTCTTTCAGTGAGAATATACATGTGTGTATATATATATAATAGGACTCGTCTGTTATCTGAAGTCGTATTTGAACTGCATCTGTCATAGTATAGTACAGTATGAGCATGTTTGTAATTTTCCTTACAAATGAATTGTAATTTATAGTGCCATCTTAAAAAGGTAAGAGGTGGAATCAGCTTAATCAGCACGCCATAGCTAATTACCCCTTAGCTTCTGGAGGAGGCATGTTGGACAATTAAGCTGATGCCACTGTTTGCCCTTTAGTGAAAAGATATGCCCTTTAGCAAAAATCCCCACAGAGTTAAACATATGATGTGTGAATCTGAATGTGGTCTTTGTATGGTATTTATTGTCAGTGACTATTTTACATTCACATGCAAGAATATAGCAGATTGAAAATGTCAAAAAAAAAAAACCCAAGATATGACCAGCTTTATTTAAAGGGATCTTTTAAAGGTGTATTTTGCACTTGCCTTTTTCTGTAATGTGGTCAAGATTCCAAACTACCATGCATCCAAAACAAAGGTGTATATTATAGTTCAGTGCCAGTCTCTAAATGTTACATAATATATATATATATATATATATATATATATATATATATATATATATACAGTTTAACTGTAAATGTTATGTAGCTTAAATTTCACTTGTCTGGCAGTTTCACCAAAACCTTAATCAGTCAAGGATTTTCTAAACATCTGAATACAAAATCTACATGTACTTACACATATCTTTTCACAGTACCACCTTTGTCCAAACTAAACCATTTTTTTTTCACCCAGGTTCCGAATGCGAGTCTATCGAAGCGTTTTCACTGGCGAAGATCTCGTGAAATGGCTCCTGGAGGTCGGTCTTGCTATTGATACCTTAGACGCGGTGGCCTACGGTCAGAAACTGGTGTTAGGGCGAGTTATAGTCCACGTCAAGGCAGAGCACAACTTCTATAACCTGCCGTATTTCTACAAGTTCACTGATCAGGTAGAGGAAGAATGTGAAAACGAGGATGATAAGTCGAGGTGAAAACAGGCCTAGGGATAGTGGTCCTGAGGGAGATTTTTTCTCCCTCTCTCGCTCTCCATCTCTTTCTCTTACACTTTTTCTCTCTAAAAGGCAATGAACACTATAGTGTGTAAGCTGCCTTGTAGGATCCTAAACTAAGGAAATCCATACTTGTTTACAGTTCATACTAATGGATGATAAGACAGTGTATGCTATAGGGTGAGACGTGCAGTGTTTAGTGGGAAAAAAAGAGTCAGCTTCTCTCCTTTAGGGTCAGCGATATGCAATACAGTACTTATGTTTAAGATCTTACATGTGTGTTTTAATTAGTTAGATCCATAACATGCATGTATAGAAGAAAAGTCAGATGGTGACATGATCTCATCCTCAGAACAGTGACTTTTTAAAGCTCATCTTGTAGGATGTGCCACCTATGGGAAAGTCTTGGTGGGTAGTATGAGGCCTTGGGCTATATAAGATGTAAGTTGTTTTTTCATAAATATTGTTGTTAGTCATGTGTCTCTATATCAAATGGAATGTGCAATGTTGTATAATTAGAAGCCATGTTAAACTGATATAATATTCCAAAGTGCACATACGGGCCAAAAAGCATATTGTTCTTTTTGTCATTAATTTAACTGTTGTATTTATTAAATAAAAGGGGACAGTTTTGTAGATAATATGATGTACTTAATCAAGATAATGCTTTTAAATTACATATTTGTTTTATATATTCTGGTAGAAAATATGTAAAACTAGACAGTAATTACTCTCAGCTTTATAAATGATTATTTTTTTTAATTTATTTTGTCATGCTGTTAGTGGGCATATGGCCAAATGACATATTGATGTTTTTTTTTTTTTTTTTAAGAAAGAAACAAAAAACCCATATTATTCATTTCCCACCAACTATATTAATGTCTTGTTTCTTGTTGAGTTGTAGAGGTATAGGTATGGACATTAAATCATGAAATGTATGTACATGCATGGAAATCCACATTGTCATTCTGGAGTATCACAGAAGAGTATACACCCGTAGTAGATTGGAAACCAATTCATACTGTAGAATTATTTAAGGATTCACCAGTACATTGGTTGCTCATCATGTGTATTCAGTTGCAGGTGATTGATGTATTTGTTTTAAATTTGTTGTGTGGAAACATTTTTCTTTATGTTGAATACTTACATTTAATCAGATTCAATTTTTTGTACAAAAATAGACAGTGCATCTCTTTGATATATTACGAATATTTTATAATCATATTAAAAAAGATATAGGAAAAGGAACAGAGACAGTTCTCATTTAATATATAAGATCTTAACATTTATCTATCAAGACTACAATTTTTTATTAATTTTTGAACATTTTATTTACTATCATGATATCAATTTGTTGGAAATTGTTGCAAAATCTTGATACAAAATACTCCATGAAAATTAATTTCAGGTAGTTTTTGTAATAATTAATCTTTACCTTCTTTATTTCTCAAAATGACCTGTAGTTTGGCAGATCTGATTTTCAGTGAGGACTATGTGGTTAAGTCCAACTGCAATTCATTAAAAACACGATCTCAGTTGATATTACTATAGTTACATTCTTTTATAGCTAATTTTAGTCGCAATGTGTATGCATGCTATATTGCTAAGACGCCCGTCTGTAGGCAATTTGGGGGGGAGGGAGGCTGGGAGGAGAACAGCTCTTTCAGCAGAAAAAAAATGCTTTGTGTCAAAATTTGTTCTAGGGTCTACCAGGGGTGGATCCATGGATTTTCTAACAGTCTTCCAAATTATTTTTGTTGACCCATCCATTTTTGACAGTCTTCTGGCAGATAAAAAATTAGGTGCCTGTCAGTGTAAACTTGCCAAATTCTGGTCGTCTTCCTGAAGACCCAGATAATGGCATCCTTCTACCCCTGTCAACAGCATTTGGGTTATCTAGGTGAAATGAGGTCCAATGTTAAAAAATACTACCCCCCCCCCTTCCAATTTGAATTTACTTCCCATAGGTCTGGTCATTTAGTGAACACCGGTGGTAATATAGGTCCTTTCAGAACAGATGATCCACGGACTAACTAATCGGCAGACTAAATGTGGGCAATGCCCCACTTAAAAGCTAGCAGCCTAGTCCCCTGAGGGTCTCCCACATGTGCCATTTAAAGGATTACATCTGGAACCAGAGGTTAAATACCTAGGCCTCTGCATGGAACAGTGCGTGTGGAGGGGGGGGCATCACGGGATTAGTCGGCATTGCTTTTAAGTGTCTTTGGCCATATTTCATCCACGGATCTGTTTGTCTGCAGATCAACTTGAATGCACTCTTTGATACTTGTAACATTTTTATACAAATTGTATTACATCTTCAGTTTAAATTAAGATGGCCTAAATGCCCTTCTTGCCCTTTTTTTCACAATAATCATTATCATATGGTACTAGTGATGGTAATCCTCATATCACATNTCTCTCCTTTAGGGTCAGCGATATGCAATACAGTACTTACGTTTAAGATCTTACATGTGTGTTTTAATTAGTTAGATCCATAACATGCATGTATAGAAGAAAAGTCAGATGGTGACATGATCTCATCCTCAGAACAGTGACTTTTTAAAGCTCATCTTGTAGGATGTGCCACCTATGGGAAAGTCTTGGTGGGTAGTATGAGGCCTTGGGCTATATAAGATGTAAGTTGTTTTTTCATAAATATTGTTGTTAGTCATGTGTCTCTATATCAAATGGAATGTGCAATGTTGTATAATTAGAAGCCATGTTAAACTGATATAATATTCCAAAGTGCACATACGGGCCAAAAAGCATATTGTTCTTTTTGTCATTAATTTAACTGTTGTATTTATTAAATAAAAGGGGACAGTTTTGTAGATAATATGATGTACTTAATCAAGATAATGCTTTTAAATTACATATTTGTTTTATATATTCTGGTAGAAAATATGTAAAACTAGACAGTAATTACTCTCAGCTTTATAAATGATTATTTTTTTTAATTTATTTTGTCATGCTGTTAGTGGGCATATGGCCAAATGACATTGATGTTTTTTTTTTTTTTTTTTTTTTTTAAAGAAAGAAACGAAAAAACCCATATTATTCATTTCCCACCAAGCCAGTGAAACTATATTATGTCTTGTTTCTTGTTGAGTTGTAGAGGTATAGGTATGGACATTAAATCATGAAATGTATGTGCATGCATGGAAATCCACATTGTCATTCTGGAGTATCACAGAAGAGTATACACCCGTAGTAGATTGGAAACCAATCCATACTGTAGAATTATTTAAGGATTCACCAGTACATTGGTTGCTCATCATGTGTATTCAGTTTCAGGTGATTGATGTTTTTGTTTTAAATTTGGTGTGTGGAAACATTTTTCTTCATGTTGAATACTTACATTTAATCAGATTCAATTTTTTGTACAAAAATAGACAGTGCATCTCTTTGATATATTACGAATATTTTATAATCATATTAAAAAAAGATATAGGAAAAGGAACAGACAGTTCTCATTTAATATATAAGATCTTAACATTTTGCTATCAAGACTACAATTTTGTATTAATTTTTGAACATTTTATTTACTATCATGATATCAGTTTGTTGGAAATTGTTGCAAAATCTTGATACAAAATACTCCATGAAAATTAATTTCAGGTAGTTTTTGTAATAATTAATCTTTACCTTCTTTATTTCTCAAAATGACCTGTAGTTTGGCAGATCTGATTTTCAGTGAGGACAATGTGGTTAAGTCCAACTGCAATTCATTAAAAACACGATCTCAGTTGATATTGCTATAGTTACATTCTTTTATAGCTAATTTTAGTCGCAATGTGTATGCATGCCATATTGCTAAGACGCCCGTCTGTAGGCAATTTGGGGGGGAGGGAGGCTGGGAGGAGAACAGCTCTTTCAGCAGAAAAAAAATGCTTTGTGTCAAAATTTGTTCTTGGGTCTACCAGGGGTGGATCCATGGATTTTCTAACAGTCTTCCAAATTATTTTTGTTGACCCATCCATTTTTGACAGTCTTCTGGCAGATAAAAAATTAGGTGCCTGTCAGTGTAAACTTGCCAAATTCTGGTCGTCTTCCTGAAGACCCAGAAAATGGCATCCTTCTACCCCTGTCAACAGCATTTGGGTTATCTAGGTGAAATGAGGTCCAATGTTAAAAAATACTACCCCCCCCCCTTCCAATTTGAATTTACTTCCCATAGGTCTGGTCATTTAGTGAACACCGGTGGTAATATAGGTCCTTTCAGAACAGATGATCCACGGACTAACTAATCGGCAGACTAAATGTGGGCAATGCCCCACTTAAAAGCTAGCAGCCTAGTCCCCTGAGGGTCTCCCACATGTGCCATTTAAAGGATTACATCTGGAACCAGAGGTTAAATACCTAGGCCTCTGCATGGAACAGTGCGTGTGGAGGGTGGGGGGGGGGCATCACGGGATTAGTCGGCATTGCTTTTAAGTGTCTTTGGCCATATTTCATCCACGGATCTGTTTGTCTGCAGATCAACTTGAATGCACTCTTTGATACTTGTAACAATTTTATACAAATTGTATTACATCTTCAGTTTAAATTAAGATGGCCTTAATGCCCTTCTTGCCCTTTTTTTCACAATAATCATTATCATATGGTACTAGTGATGGTAATCCTCATATCACATGCCAAACTGGTTTTATTCATTCAGTGAAAAAGGCAAAATTTTTATGTAGCATTTGGTGTCCTTGTAATTTTTTATGCATTGAAGAACTTGTTATTATTGACATTTAATTGTAATTTTGTGCACTAGTCTTAAGTTTATTGTTAATTCAGTGACTAAACAATAAAATAAAATACCTTTCAATGTTTATTCGTGTTGGGTTTTTATAGTTCTTTGCCAATTAACTTAACCCAATCGGGAATATAAAATGTAAATTCAGTTTGTTAATAGGCAAATTTGCTAAGGGAATGAAAAAACATGTTAGCAAAGCTGTGGAAAGAGCAGAGTCTGACATAAAACGGGAAGCAATGATGACAGTCCACGGAATGGTTTTTGTCATTGTCAGTTTTGATGCAATATTACATAAATGGTTAACAGCAGAATCTTGGCCAGTTAACATTTAAAAATGTAAATAGCGTAGTATCGTGCATGTGATTGGTGTTAAATTGTTTAGAAAGTGGAAAAAGTATGAAACTTGGTACATATCTTCTTTGGTCTATTCCGATAATTTTCAAAGAGAGTGCCAAATATGCCGAAACATGCGTCTTATAAAGTACAGGTTCCAGTACTTTAACGTCCCTGTAAGTCCACGTACAGGTAGAAACGCCTTCTGTAAAAATCCAAGAAAAAATAAAACTCCATATAATAATTAGAAATACTGATCTAGGCACAGAATATTTAGAACGAATGGCATAAAAAGTTAAATCTTGTTTGCTTTTTCATAACAGCCAGATAAAACTTCACCGGGCAACGATGTTATCATGTTATCCCGACAGTAGCCAGTTAGTTAGAAAGGGCCTGTCTTGTTTGGCCTACAACTATATATTTTTTAACTATTAGATTCATTAATGCTATAAATTATCGCATTGTTTGGCCCATAACACACTGGGACATGAGTTTTTCTGTGCTTATTTATTTATTTATTTATTTATTTGCTAGTGGCACTTGGATCCGAACGGAAATAGGATTTATCCATTCCATTATGTCAACAACGGGGTCATAGCTACGCCAACTGATAGATGAAAATATCAACATTTACCCCCTTTCCTTGGTGTTCAGTATCACATGATGGAAGCCGCATGAACAATATTTATGGAATAAAGTGTTGTATTTTAACAAGTGGACCTCAGTCAAATCTACATGTGCATGTTTTTGATCGTGAATAATCGTGAACAGTTTCAGCCACAGTCCCTCACCTAAAATGGGCCATACCTGTCGGTAATTTGCATAACAATAAGTTGCTCACCGTAGTGCGAGCTGTCTTCTCGAACGCACACTAGGCAGTAGGACATAGCAGGGTGAAGACGCAACAGTATGTGTAGTGAAGTCGCAAGGTCGAGCTTTTACGAGGCGTAGAAGCAAATGCGTTTCGTAAGTATAACTTTATTCTTCAGTAACCGCTGTCAGTAGTTAGAAAAAGCGTAAAAGAATGCAGGAAAATTTACGACATGTATTTATGTTACGATTCTTTGTTATATTTGCCTGTCGGTTCTTTCATGGCACTCAGAATATTAGCTGACATATTAGTAGATGAGAATATTACCACAAAGATCACGGACTAATTAAGATGATAATACCGTATCGTACCGTCACAGTTCTAGTAATGACCTCCACGAATTTAAGAAGTGTTTCCAATGTTTATTCTTTCAAAGCAAGATATCTTAAATATCTGTCTCCTTGATCTAAGCTGATTTCAGTAATAGGATATGTCAGTAAAAAGAATGGAACAAACTCCAGTGTGATGTTCAAAATTTGGCCGATGATGGCCGCATTTATTGGAGGACCCATTAATAAAAAAGAAATAAAGCAATTCAATAATGAACAATGAATATTGTTGATAAATGATATAAACATAATGTGTGCACCTGAAGTATCTACATTTAAAATATAATTTCCAAACAATTAGTGCACACATTTCAAATTGCGGGGTTGCAAAGAGGCCAACCGTCTGTATCAATTACTTCAGATCTTAATTTTGGCGTAAGGCAACTTCGATATCGATTGTATTTTCTGGGTGCTATTTGAGCCTGAAGATCGGACAAGTCAGTAAACAACCACATCATTTCAAAAGCTCTCTTCTCTTTGATGTAAATGAATAAGTTGTATTTTTCGAGCGTGCCCGTATAGTCAGATATTGTTAACATTACTTTCTTATTTCAGAGGTCCACTGAGATTCCGAGTGTTGCACGACTAGCGGCTGCAAGCAACCAAGTCTTTCATCCACGTTTTGGAACCCTCGCGTATTCATGCATCTATTGTATTAAAACTGAATAAATACGCTTGAAATTCCTTGTTTTTTTCTTTGATATGATATAATGACGAAAAAGATAGCGGTAATAATAAAGGGAAAGGGATGAAATTGCGGAGATATGATTACTGTTAAACTTTCAAATTTAAATTTATGCTGAAACTGATCTGCAAATAATGTATTTGGAATTGATTTCTACAGTAACAAAAGATATCTTAAATCAAAAAGGTTTTAAAGGTTTGTTAGCAAGTCCATTATTTTGTAAATAATTGATTTTAAGCATTTTGAAAACATATCTACAAGATTTTCCAACAGCTCACATTTATAAATTCAATTTGTATGAATTTACAAGGTTGCTTTTTGAAAATCTATTCTTCATTTTATTCCATAGTTGGACAGTTTTTATATCTCTTGGAATATCGTTCTTTAATGTGTCCATTTTAGTTTCTGGGTTTTCCTGCAGAAAAGTGATTCAAATTCCACAACCTTTCCATCATATGAATACTTCAATTTGAAAATTAAACAGAAAAATGAGAAAGATTAGAGGTTCTGGCACACTTTTGAAAAATTAAAACTGCATATTCCAATATATTTGAAATGTCCTTAAAAAATATTGGTTAATAAATTGATCCTTTGATTTAGTATTGTGACCTTGATTAATTTCCACACAGTTCCAAATGTACAGACGACGCCCCACCTGTCACCCCTCAAATGAATGGACTC